TCATCATCGTCATCTTCGTCATCATCATCGTCATCATCAGCATCTTGAGGGGCTTCTAGGAAAGTACTTGAGGGCCCATTCGAGTCCTGCTTGACAGGCGCTTTGGGACAGATGTTGCGTGCGGTGAGCGGAAGCCTAAGGAATAATGTTATCGGAGAGCTTTCTGGTAAGATGATGGCGCGTATGAGAGCCCATTGTGGGGCTGCCGGGCAAGCGTTTTGGGACGCATGGTTGGGGCCGGGGGCGGAAGCCTGAGGAATCATGTTCCCGGAAGGCTTCCTGGGAACATGATATGTTGGGGTGTCGTTGGGCGCCTCCAGAGGCTTCGGGGCCTGACGCGTTTCCGAGCGTGGCGGCCGGTAGCACTGCTTGGTACTCTTGTTTTCTTTTCCTGGCAGGCGTTTAGGGAACATGGTTTGGACAGATGGCGGCAACCCGCGCGTGGCTCGTCGTCGTCGCGTGGCACGGTGTCGTCCGTCGACGTCATCGTCGTCATCGTCGTCGCCGCCGTCGTCGTCGTCGTCGTCGTCGTCGTCGTCTTGGTCCTCCTCGTCGTCGCCGTCGTCCATCATCGTCGTGGTCGTCGTGGTCGTCGTGGTCGTCGTCGTCGTCGACGTCGTCAATCGTGCTCGTCCCCGTCGTTCGTCGTCGTCCGTCGTCGTCGTCCATCGTCGGCGTCGTCTTCATGTTCGTCATTCGCCGTCGTCGCCGTCGTTGTCATCGTCACCGTCGTCGTCCGCCGGCGTCGCCGTGGTCGTCCTCATCGTTCGTCGTCGTCGTCGTCGGTCGTCCGTTGTCGGTAGGTGGTCGTCGGTCGTAGGTCCTCGGGCGTTGGTCATCGTCGTCGTTGTCGTCGTCGTTGTCCGTCGTCATCGTCGTCTTCCGTCGTCGTCATCCTCGTCGTCGTCGTCATCGTCGTCCGCCGTCGTCGCCGTCGTCGTCATCGTCGTCGTCGTCGGCCGTCAACCTTCTGTCGGTGGTCGTCTGTCGTAGTTCGTCGGTCGTCGGTACTCGATCGTCCGTCGTCCATCGTCCGTCGTCCAACGTTGTCGTCGTCGTCATCGTCGTCGTCGTTTTTCGTCGTCGTCGTCTATCTCGTCGTCCTCCTTGTCGTCGTCGTCCATCGTCGTCGTGGTCGTCGTCGTCGTTGTCCGTCGTCGTCGTCGTCGTCGCCGTCGTCCCTGTTTTTCGTCGTCATCGCCGTAGTCGTCGCCGTCGTTGTCAGGCGCCGGTGCTCGCCGTCCTCGTTCGCCAGCACCAATGAAAAGGGGGGGTCCGAATATCCTCACCCCTGCAAGGAAGGAGCGCGGGGTTTCAGCCCCCGTCCCGTTTGCACCAGTGTGTGGGGGGTGGAAGTCCCCTTCGCCCCTTGCGCAGGGGGGGATTGCAACCCTCCCCCCCTCCCAACTGCACACAGAGAGCGTTCTTTCCGATCTGATTACCTATCGGCCTCACTATCCATCTATCGATCTCACTACCAACCAATGACCCAACCATCAGGACAACCATCGGGACAGCCTCTGTCAGTCGATCGATCTGTCGATGGCACGACCTATCTACTTACATATACATGTACAGATGTAGCTCTATCGACCAATCTATCGATCGCACCATGGACACATTGGACTAACACCATACATGCTTTTATGAATTTGCATCTGCATCTATACACATACATACATACAGACATACGGATGTATTGTCATCACCGTCTACGGGGCGGTATGACTGTCTATAGATCGTCATCACTCTTCAAAAACCTATCTCGTTATCCATACATGCATCGATCTATCCATCGCCAGGCATCACTGTCTATATAGATACATAGATACCGAGCACACGATCAATCAATCTACCATCGGGACAATTGTCGGGACAACCACCAGGGCAATCATCACCGCAACCATCGGGACAACCATCGGGACAACCACGGGACAACCATGGGACAACCGCGGGATAACCACGGGACAACCGTGGGACAACCGCCGAACAACCCTGGCCCCAAATCCGCCAACCGAGAAAAGAAAGGAGCAGGGCTTCGACTTTGCCCTGGCAACGGCGGGATCACTCCTCTCGCCCGCGCAAGCAGCTTCGCCCCGCCCGCACGCGTGGCACACAGACGAAACCGAAACCGATTTGCGGGTGGAAGGTCTCCTTTTCACTTCGATCTCACCCCCCAACCTCCGATACCCATCAATCGCATCCTCATTCACGTCATCAGCCAAGCATCGGGTATCGTCCGTTGCCACCGCATCATCATCACCACAATCACCAACCATGAACCATCGACCATCAATCAATACGACCAGATGAATCATCAACATATCATCGTCACAGTTAACATCATCGCATAATATCTAGACGTCATCACCGTTCAGACTCTTCTGCGATGGGGCCATTCAATATTCAATACATATATATACACGATTCTTGGCACCGCAGCACTCGCGTGCCCTAGTCCGTCTGAGCAACGCCCGTGCTCGACAAGGACACACGCCCCGTCCAAGAGCATAGCTTTCTAGATGCCGGCATGAACCGTTCTACTATCTCTTCCGATTGACAGCACGGTTGGAAATGTAGATGTCCACGTCGTGTCGGCTGCCATCGGCGTCGTCATCGCTCTTGGTATCATGGCCCTCGCTCATCCGAGTAAGTCACACCATCGCCCGCACTTCCTCTGCCATTACTCACACTCCCATGTTGATGTGTACTTGCTATGTTTCGTACTTGCGCTTGTCCTGATCCGTACCATGATTCCCGATATTTGCTTGAGAGTCCGCGCCTATGGTTGGTAATACGGCCAAGCGCTAACAGCAGGCACAGACTGCGTAGAGGTGGAGGGGGGTAAGAAGGGAGGGGCGAGAGAGGGGAGAGGAGGGATGGGAGGAATGGCGAGAAGGGAGGGAGGGACGGGAGGGCCAAAAAGGCAGGAGAGAGCGTGATCCACCGCCGCTCTACTGTGGAAAATTCCCCTCCCTCTTCCTCCGGAACCCGTGGGTCCCCCCCCACCCTTCCGAAATCCCCCCCACCCCTGCTCGAACCCTCTCCCACCTCCCCTCCCCCCTCCCTTCTCCCGGCAAAACCCCCTTCCCCCCGAACACCTCCCCCCACCCCCCTTCCGGAAAACTGGGGGGGTCACTACGTGTTCGAAACCCCCCTCCCCCTCCAAAAAACCGGGGGGGTCACTACCGGTTCGAACCCCCTCCCCTCCCCCCCCACTCACCGCCCGCAAACGACTCCCGGGTCCCCACCACCGTCCTCACCACCGCCCTCACCGCTGTCCCCAGGACCACCATCCCCACCACGACTGTCCCACTGTCCCCACTGTCTCCACCACTGTCCCCACTGTCCCCACCAGTGCCCCCACCACTGTCGCACTGTCCCCGCTGTCTCCACCACTGTTCCCACCACGGCTCCAATTTCACCACTGTCCCCACCACTGTCCCACTGTCCCCGCTGTCCCCACCACCGTCCCACTGTCCCCACTGTCCCCACTGTCCCCGCCGCTGTCCCACTGAGCTGTCCCACTGTTCCCACCACTGCCCCCACTGTCCCCACCACTGTCCCCACTGTACCACAGTACCATTGTCCCACCACCGTCCTCACCACCGCCCTCACCACTGTCCCCACCACCACCGTCCCCACCATGTGTCCCACTGTCCCTGTCCCCACCACTGTCCCCTGTCCCCACTGTTCCCGCCAGTGTCCCCAGTCCCCACCAGTGCCCCCACCAGTGTCTCAGTCCCCACTGTCCCACCACTGTCCCCACCACGGTCCTACTCTCCCCATTGTCCCCGCTGTCCCCACCGCGGTCCAACGGTCCCCACTGTCCCCACCATCCCCACCACCACTGTCCCACTGTCCCCACTGTCTCCACCACTGTCCCCACTGTCCCCACCAGTGCCCCCACCGCTGTCGCACTGTCCCCACTGTCTCCACCACTGTTCCCACCACGGCTCCAATTTCCCCACTGTCCCCACCACTGTCCCACTGTCCCCGCTGTCCCCACCACCGTCCCACTGTCCCCACTGTCTCCACTGTCCCCGCCGCTGTCCCACTGAGCTGTCCCACTGTTCCCACCACTGAACTGCCCCCACTGTCCCCACCACTGTTCCCACTGTACCACAGTCCCATTGTCCCACCAGCGTCCTCACCACCACCCTCACCACTGTCCCCACCACCACCGTCCCCACCATTGTCCCACTGTCCCACTGTCCCCACCACTTTCCCACTGTCCCCACACCACTGTCCCCACCACCACTGTCCCCACCGCTGTCCCACTGTCCCCACCACTGTCCCACTCTCCCCACTGTTCCCGCCAGTGTCCCCAGTCCCCACCAGTGCCCCCACCAGTGTCTCAGTCCCCACTGTCCCCACCACTGTCCCCACCACGGTCCTACTCTCCCCATTGTCCCCGCTGTCCCCACCGCTGTCCAGCTGTCCCCACTGTCCCCATCACTGTCCCCACTGTCCCCACTGCTGTCCAACTGTGCTGTCCCCACAATCCCCACTACTGTCCCACTGTCCCCACTGTCCCCACCACTCTCCCAGTCACCACAACACTGTCCCCACCACCACCGTCCCCACCACTGTCCCAGTGTCCCCACCACTGTCCCACTGTCCCGAGGAGCGGGAATCGTTTGCTGGCGGGGGGGGGGTTCGAACTGGTAATTGGTAATGACACCGCCCTTGTCATGGTGGGCTGCGGGGTGGGTAGGGGGGTGATTCGAACCGGTAGTGACCCCCCCCCCTGGTTTTCGAGGGGGGGGGGGACGGGTTGGGACCCCCCAGTGACCCCCCCCCCGGTTTTCCTCCAGCAACGGTAGAACACGCTCTTTCAAAGGAAGCGGAACAGAGGCAAGGCGACGGGGAGGTGTTGACATGAGGGGTGCGCAAGCGGAGGAACACAGAGGAAGGAAGTGTGGGTGGCAAGAAGGTTACGTGGGGCGACAGGTTGACGGGAGGGGAGACATGGGAGGGCGAGGAAATCATTCCCCCCCTCAGCCCGACGCGTTCGGCAGCAGCCAGCTCCGGTGAAGCCCCTCGTCACGCCAGATTGCTGGCCGTTTCTCATCGCCCCCAGGCGCCTCGCGCACCTGCCACGCGCGTGTTGTCGTCGTCGCCGCCTTCGTCATCATCCGCCTCTGCCTCCTCTGCATCCTCTGCCTCCTCTGCCTCCTCCTCCTCCTCCTCCTCCTCCTCCTCCTCATCATCATCATCATCATCCTCCTCCCACCCCTCCCTCCCTCCCTCCCTCCTCCCTCGTCCTTGTCTCCTCCTCATCCCTCATCCTCCTCCCCTCCTCCTGCCCAGTCCGCGTCTTCCTCCTACTCCTGGTCCTCCATGCTCATCCCCCCGATGCTCCACCTCCAACTCCACCTTATCCTCCTCCTCCTCCTCCTCCTCCTCCTCATCATCATCATCATCATTATCATCATTATCATCATTATCATCATCATCATCATCATCATCATCATCATCATCATCATCATCATCAGCATCATCATCATCACCACCTTCACCACTACCACCACCATTATCATCACCACCAACAACAACATCATCATCATCATCATCATTATCACCATAATCGTCATCGTCATCATCATCGTCATTCTCATAATTGTCATAATCGGCACCATCATCAACATCAGCATCATCATACTCATCACCATCAGCATCATCACCATCAGCATCATCACCATCATCATAAACAACGGCAGCATCAGCATCAGCATCAGCATCAGCATCAGCATCAGCATCGACATCATGATCATCATCATCATCATCATCATCATCATCATCATCAGCATCATCATCATCATCATCATCATCATCAGCATCATCATCATCATCATCATCATAATCGTCATCATCATCATCATCATCATCATCATCATCATCATCATCATCATCATCACCATCAGCATCAGCAGCAGCATCATCATCAGTAGCATTGGCATCATTTTCCCCCTCATGCTGCTGCTGCCCCTCGTCCTCCTCCTCCTCCTCCTCCTCCTCCTCCTCCTCCTCCTCCTCCTCCTCCATTCATTTTTCTAAATCACTTTTCCCTGTCGCACCATCGGACGTGTCTGTAGGCATGGTCGGACGTTTCGCCTGAGCTTTCCTCGGCAATTGCAACATGAAAAAAAAAAAATGCGATCCTGAACTGGCTAGTGTTGTAACGGCCCGCGTGTAGATTTTTGACACCACTTGGATCGTTCAGCCGTGAAGGATCGCGGATTTCCGTTCAACGCCAGCCGAGTCCTGACCACTGGCCGTTTTCATTCCAAACGTCCTCGCCAAGGTCGCCGCCGCGCCGACACAACGCACAACGCAAATCGACCGCTGTGGAGGACAAATTGTTTCCGGGGGGGCGCTTGTTTTACCCCGGGATCTGCCGCAGGTAGGTCTTTCTGCGGACGCTCCTCGTTGGAGAACCTCTTGGGGGCCTCACGAGTGCCTATCAAGGGCTTTGGGGACATCTGGAGGCCTCCTGAGTGCCCCTTTGGGCCGTCTTGAGGGTCCTTTTGGAGCCCGTGTGGGCCGTCTTGGGTTCATCTTGGGCCGTCCTGGGGGCTTCTTGGGGAAGTTGGGCCAACTTGGGGACCTCCCATGGCCCTCGTGGGTCTCTCTTGGGAGCCTTCGGGGGCCTCGTGAGCTTCGTTTAGGCCGTCTTGGGGCAATCTTGGGGTCATCTTGGCCTGGCTTGAAGCCCTGTTGGGAGCCTCTTGGGCCACCCTGGGGCGATCTCGCAAATCTTTTGGGCCGTCTTGGACGCTGCTACGACACAAAACGCAAAGATGCTGAACATGTACGTTTTCCCTCTGGGAATGCGACGATGTTTGCCTCTTGGGGGCTCTCCTGAAGGCCTCTTGCGGCGTCATCGGGGCCTATTGGGTCTTGGGGCCTCTTGGGCCGTCTGGAGGCCGTCTTGCGCTGTCGTGGGGCTCTCCTGGAAAACTGGGGCCCTCGTGGGGACCTCACATGGCCCTCGTTGGTTTCTCTTGGTAGCCTTTCGGGGCCTCTTGAGCTTCGTTAGGCCGTCTTGGGGCTGTCTTGGGGTCCTCCAGGCCCAGCTTGAAGCCCAATTGGGGGCCTCTTGGGCCGTCCTGGGGGCCTTTTGGGCCATCTGGAAGCCGTCTTGCGCTGCCGCGGGGCTCTCTTGGAAAACTGGGGCCCTCTTGTGGACCTCCCATGGCCCTCGTGGGTCTCTCTTGGGAGCCTTCGGGGGCCTCGTGCGCTTCTTTTGGGCCGTCTTGGGGCAAACTTGGGGCTTTCTTGGCCTAGTTTGAAGCCCTGTTGGGAGCCTCTTGGGCCACCTTGGGGCGATTTCGCAAGCTTCTTGGGCCGTCTTGGACGCTGCTACGACACAAAACGCGAAGATGCTGAACATGTACGTTTTCCCTCTGGGAATGCGACGATGTTTGTCTCTTGGGGCTTCTCCTGAAGGCCGACTTGGGGCGTCTTTGGGGCCTCTTGGGCCGTCTTGGGGGCCTCTTGGGCCGTCTTGCGCTGCCGTGGAGCTCTCCTGGAACACTGGGGCCCTCTCGTGGACCTTCCATGGCCCTCGTGGGTCTCTCTTGGGAGCCTTCGGGGGCCTCGTGACCTTCGTTTAGGCCGTCTTGGGGCACTCTTGGGGTCCTCTTGGCCCAGCTTGAAGCCCTATTGGGAGCCTCTTGGGCAGCCTTTGGCCTTTGGGCGATCTCGCAGGCTTCTTGGGCCGTCTTGGACGCTGCTACGACACAAAACGCAAAGATGCTGAACATGTACGTTTTCCTTCCGGGAATGCAGCGATGTGTGCCTCTTGGGGGCTCTCCTGAAGGCCTCTTGGGCCGTCTTGGGGGCCTCTTGGGCCGTCTGGAGGCCGCCTTGCGCTGCCGTGGAGCTCTCCTGGAAAACTGGGGCCCTCTTGGGGACCTCCCATGGCCCTCGTTGGCTTCTCCGGGGAGCTTGTGAGGGCCTCGTGAGCTTCTTTTGGGCCGTCTGGGAGCAGCCGGGAGTTCTCTTAGCCCGGCTCGAACCCCTGTTGGGGGCCTCTCAGGGGAATGGGCCGAAGGCCACTAGTCATATTGCACCACCTAGATTAGAGTACATCGATAGCCCTACAAAGATTGTACAACATCGATTGTATAACACAATTTGGGACAACGATACCAACACATAGACTGCTCCGCGTAGACTGTAGCACACACATACATACACAAACTCATGAATGCATACATACATATAGACGTACATACATACATACTTACATATATGCATACATACAAACATACATACATACAAACAAACATACACACATACATACATACGTACATACATGCATGCATACATGCATGCATACATACATACATGAACACATACCTACACACATGCATTACAGTGCACTATATTGCATTACAATATATTACATTCCAATCCATTGCTTTACGATAGTATATATATATATGTATATATACAGGTGTGTACACGCATACATACATACATACATAGGTGTGTATATATATAAATATATATAATCGCGAATGTATTCATGCATATAACATACCTGCATACGTGCATTCATACATTCACACATATGTATATCGTTCGTACCCAAGGGGGCGCACACAGGGTCCCCCAGAGTCCGGCCTACGCGGGCGCACGTGAAAGATCGGCGAGAACCATAGCTGCTCGGCGAATTCCGTAAAGATGACCAATCCGCTCCTCCTCTGTGGGGGGGGGCGGCGGCGAAACGCGTACGAGATTGTACATGTGGAAAAAATTACGATGGCCTCAACAACCTGTGCATTCGGGGTGTGGGCGAGACCTAATCTAGACATCGGGCTCTCAGGGGCAGGGACCTCTTGCGGGTAAGCCCACGACCACAACACCTGGCAACGAACATAATGCTTAAATGTGTCGACGCCCGCATCACAACTGCACCCGGATTTGCATGTCGCGACGCCGCCTGTATGGAGCCTCGCAGTCGTGAGCCACGCACCTGAAATCGTCTTCAGCGCGGCAGACTGCCACGCGGGCGACGCAGACCTCAAGAGGTCCCGCAGGGAGGCCGGAAACCTTGTTCAACCTCGAGCTCCCACTTGGCCATGCGCCTCTGCAGAGTGCATACATACATACGTACATACATACATGCAATCACAACTATATACACATACATACATATCTACGTACGTATGTACGTACGTGTGTACGTACGTACGTCCATACGCACATACATACATGAGAGCATGCATACATACACATGTACGTACATACATACATACGTACATGCATCCATGCACATATATATATATATATATGCAAGACTGCATTGGCGCTGCGCGCCACGCACCTTGGTCCTTTGGAATTCGCACGCTAGCGGAGTGCGAGCGTGCGTACATGCGCACACACATGCGTCTAAACATGCATAATACATATGTACATATTTATATACGTTTGTATGGATATGTACATGTATATGCAAATGGTCAGTGTAACTATGCGTGCGCATACACATGCGTATATCAGGCGGTAGTGGCCTGACCAGTTGCTCATATCATCGCGCCAGTTAAAAGGCGCGAGAGTCTCAGGCAAACGCGCTCAGACCACCATGGGACAATGCGTCGCCGAGGTCAGTGTTGCGAGGGCGCCCCGGGTGAAAATGGCCTGAACACCTCCGCTCAGGGGAGGGCATATCCGAAGTCAGCCGCGCGAGGAAGTTTCAAGCGAGGAGTGGTCTGAACACCTCTGCTCAGGGCATCCTTGAACTTAGAGTTGCGAGAAGTCGCGCGCGAAAGTGGCCGGACCATCATGGCGCAAGGCACCTCCGAAGTGAGACTTGCGAGAGTGTCTCAGGCGACAGTGGCTGGAACACCTCAACTGAGAGCGTCTGGGGCCCCAGAGCTGCGATGATGTCTCAAGCGAAAACCGCGGGACCGATGCGAGGCAGGGCGCTTCTGAGGTCGGAGTTGCGAGCGTATCTCTGGCGAAGCGGATTAGACTACGTTCCGTTATCTCCTCTTCCTCCTTCAACTTTTCCTTTCCTTTCCTCCTCCCCCTCCTCCCCCCCCTCCTCCTCCTCTTGTTCCCCCCTCCTCTTCCCCCCCCTCTCCGCTTCTTTTTTTGCCCATTCCCCCCATCCCGAAGGAGCCATCGCTCAGTATAGTAAAATGAAGGATGCAGCCGAAGTGGCTGTGGAAGGAATCATCAAAACAGCGGTGGGAGAGCGAGGGGGACTGGTTTTCGCACAAACTTGGCAAGCGGGGAGAGGAGATGGAAGAGGACGAGGAGAAGGAGGAGGAGGAGGAAGAGGAGGAGGACGTTGCAAGTGTTCGCGCGGCCGTGAGTCCCCAGAGAGTGTTTCCCCAGGAGGTGTGCTGAAACCGAAGGTTCCCGACGGCCTGATCTCCGAACTGTCACAAAAAAACATGGTTCCCAACAGCGCGTCCGGATGAGATGGTGTCGCGGCCCCGACGGTTTGCATTGAGCGTTGCGAGAAGCTCAGTCGAGGCGGGAGGAGGAACACGAAGAGGATGAGGAGAAGGAGAAGGAGGAAGAGGAGGAGGATGAAGAGGAGGAAGAGGAGGAAGAGGACAGATTATGTGGATATCTGGGGCACAGCCGAGGTGTCGCGGAAAAAAATCCGCAGCAGAGACTTGGGAGAGTGAGGAGAGCTGCTTCTGCTAGACCTTTGGCGGGGCGGAACGTGAAACACCACGGGGAATTAGGAGAAGGAGGAGGAGGAGGTAGAGGAGGAAGAGAATGAGGAAGAGGAGAAGAAGCGCTTGGGTCCTTCGGTGGTTTGAACGAAAAATGGCCTCGCTGCGCCATTTGATGCGACAATAACGACGACGAAGAAGGCGACGACAACGAGAAGGGATAATGAGCGGGGGATACCGCTGTGTTGGGATCTCGTGGTGCGCCTCTCGGGGCCCTCTGGGAGGCAGTTTTGAAGCCTCTTGGGGGTGTTATGGGGTTCTGGGGATCTTTTTGGGGCCTCTTGGGGGCCTCTTGGGGGCTCCTTGGGGCCTCTTGGGGCCTCACGGGGCTCTCTCTGGGCCTCTTGGGGCCCTCTCGCGGCGGAAAGTTTAGTTTTTTGAATTTTTGGGCGCCCTCTTGGGTCTCTCTTGGGGCCGTTTTGGTGCTCTCTTGGGCCGTCTTGGGCGCCTCTTGGGCGGTCTCGGAGCCCTCCTTGACCGTGTTGGGGCCTTCTTGGGGGCCTCTTGGGCAGTATTGGGGCGATCTAGGGAGCCTCTTGGGCCATGGTGGGGCGTCGGGAAGCGGGAAAAGCGAGAAGGCCACAAACATCGAAAACACACACACACACAGGAAAATCAACAATTGTAGCCTCTCGGGGCTCTCTTGGGAGGCCTCTTGGGGGTCTCTGGGGGCGTCTTGGACGCGTCTTGGGCAGTCTTGGGCCCAGATTGGGCGTCTTGGGCCGATCTTTGGGTGTCTCGGGGCCCTCTTTGGCCGTCGTGTTTTTTTTTCCGCGTCGCACTCGCAGGACAGACACGGAGCACTCTGCAGGAGCGCCCCAAAGGCTCGGGGAGGCCGAAATTCGTTTGGGGGGGGGCACCGTGTGCCGCTTTTCCGGGGTCCCCGGCCCTGTAAAAATATATAAATAGGAATATATATATATATATATATATATATATATATATATATACACATGCACACATACACACATGCATGCATGTCTGCAGGCAAACGTACACACACATACATGCACTCACAACTATATCCATACATATATACATACAGACATACGTACGTACATACATAAATACACACATGCATGCATGCACACACACGTACATTCATACATACGTACATGCATACACACGCGCGCTGTTTGGAATCCGCGCTGGCTGATATATAGAAGGTTCGACTCCTGGGGGCGCCGATCCTGGGCCCTGGGGCCGTCACGCCGCGGCCACGTCGACAGGAGAGGCGACGGCGCCGCAGGCAATCTTGAGGCACCGCAGGCTCCACGGCTGAGGTCCCTCCGTAGATGGCAAAACACTCACCCCCATAATAACGACCCCGACACGCGAAGCCGTTTGCTAAACGCCCCCACTGAAGGAATCGAGCAGGGCAGGGCTGTTTGGTAAAGGCCCAATGCCGTTTAGTAAACGCCAACTGTCCGGTCCGGGTGGTTCTTCCTCCCCTAACTCACCTGGGCTGCTATGACAAAAGCGCACGCCTGTCTATCGCAACGTGCACGTGATACCTTCACTGCCTCCAATCCACGCAGCACCATATCCGAGGCCGATTTCGCATCGGGGTCAGACTGGAAAATGTAGCCGGTGGGACACAGCTACCATGTCAGAAGAACTGCAACGCATGTGCGCCCGCAACTCTGTCGTGGACCTCCATTCTGGATCTGTTCACCCATTCCGAAAGCGTGGCCCGTCTACCTTCGAGGATACCCGTCGGCTGGAAGATGTGGGCAGGAACATGAGGCAGGAAGGCGTTGGAAGTGGATGGGGTTTCCGCCCGCCCCCTGAGGAGGGACGAGGGCAAACCGTTCGACCCTTGAAGTTGGAAGGCGGCCCAAAAAGATCGGGATCTGGGGATCCAAGAATACCTACTTTCAACGACCAGCGTGTACCATAGGTCTTGCAGCATCAGGGCTCGAAGCAGGCCAGGGCGGAGACCTCCACCTCCACCTCCTCCTCCTCCTCCTCCTCCTTCTCCCCCTCCTCCTCCACCTCCTCCTCCTCCTCCGCCTCCTCCTCCTCCTCCTCCTCCTCCCCCTCCTCCTCCTCCTCCGCCTCCTCCTCCTCCTCCTCCTCCCCCTCCTCCTCCTCCTCCTCCTCCCCAGCCCCCTCCTCCGCCTCATCCTCCTCCTCTTTCTCCTCCTCCTCCTCCTCCTCCTCCTCCCTCCCCCTCCTCCTCCTCCTCGTCCTCCTCCTCCTCCCCCTCCTCCTCGGTGATACAGAGTGCACAAGTCGTGGCAGTGCAGGGGGAGGGCCAGGGCGCCTGCCCCAGCACCGCAGTCGTCCCCTCCGACTGCCGCAGCGCCCTCGGCGCGGGCGGAGCCTGCGGCGGCGCGGTGTCCTCCACGATGAGGCTGCCAGAGGCGAGGCGGCCTCCCTCCTGGTCGTCCTCCTTCGGGGCGAGGAAGGGACCCGATTCCCCTCGCGTCGTGGAAAAATCACGACGGTTAGTTTTTCGCTATTTTCGGCCTCCGGGGGTCCTCACCGGGCGGGACCTGGGAGCGTCAAAAAACGACTCAGGATGAAAAGCCAGTCCCGGGGAAGGAGTCCAGACCTCCTCACACGTTTCGTGGCCCCATCTGGGGCTCCACCTAAGGCCCCAGGGCCCGCATGCCTGGTCCACACCATGTCGGCGCAGCCCTCATACGTTTCGTGACTCCATAGGGAGCTCCGCCTAAGGCCCTGGTGGCTGGTCCCGCATGCCTGGTCCGCGCTATTTCGGCGCACACCCCACAGGCTTCGTGGGCCCCAAACGGATCTCCACCTACGGCACCAGTGCCAGGGCCCGCATGCCTGGTACACACTATTTCGGCGCACCCCTCACACGCTTCGTGGCCCCATACGGAGCTCCACCTGAGGCCCCAGTGCCAGGGCACGCATGCCTGGTGCACATCATTTCGGCGCACCCGTCGCACGCTCTGTGGCCCCATACGGAGCTCCACCTGAGGCCCAAGTGCCAGAGCACGCATGCCTGGTCAACATCATGTCGGCGCACCCGCCGCACGTTTCGTGGCCCCGTACGGATCTCCACCTGAGGCCCCAGTGCCAGGGCACGCATGCCTGTTGGCGCACCCCTCATACGTTTCGTGGCCCCATCTGGGGCTCCACCTAAGGCCCCAGGGCCCGCATGCCTGGTCCACACCATGTCGGCGCACCCCTCATACGTTTCGTGAGTCCGTAGGGAGCTCCGCCTAAGGCCCCAGCGGCTGAGCCCGCATGCCTGGTCCACGTCATGTCGGCGCACCCCTCGCACGCTTCGTGGCCTCATAGAGAGCTCCACCTAAGGCCCTGGTGGCTGGTCCCGCATGCCTGGTCCGCGCCATTTCGGCGCACCCCTCACACGCTTCGTGGCCCCAAACGAATCTCCACCTACGGCACCAGTGCCAGGGCCCGCATGCCTGGTACACACTATTTCGGCGCACCCTTCGCACGCTTCGTGGGCCCGTCCAGGGCTCCACCTGAGGCCCCAGTGCCAAGTCACGCATGCCTGGTACACACCATTTCGGCGCACCCGCCGCACGTTTTGTGGCCTCATACGGAGCTCCACCTGAGGCCCCAGTGCCAGGGCACGCATGCCTGGTACACACCATGTCAGCGCACCCGCCGCACGTCTCGTGGCCCCCTACGGAGCTCCACCTGAGGCCCTGGTGGCTGGGCCCGCATACCTGGTCCACACCATTTTGGCGCACCCCTCACACGTTTCGTGGCCCGCTGCGGAGCTCCACCTGAGGCCCCAGTGCCAGGGCACGCATGCCTGGTCCACACCATTTTGACCCCTCGCACGTTTCGTGGCCCGCTGCGGAGCTCCACCTGAGGCCCCAGTGCCAGGGCACGCATGCCTGGTCCACATCATTTTGGCGCACCCCTCACCTCACACGTCGCGTGTCTCCATAGAGAGCTCCACCTGAGGCCCTGGTGGCTGGGCCCGCATGCCTGGTCCGCACCATTCCCGACACCATATGGGGGGTTCCACCAGCGGCGGTACTTACAACCAGTACCCATCACTGATGGCTGGATCTTCCGTCAGGCAAGTTATCATTCATCATCGTCGTCATCGTGATCGTCATCATCATCATGATCGTCGTCATCGTCATGGTCATCGGAATCGTCACCGTCATCATCATCATCGGCATCGACATCGTCATCGTCAGCATCATCATCAGCACCAGCATCGGCATCAGCATCATCAGCATCACCATCATCAGCACCAGCATCATCATCAGCGTCAGCGTCACGAGCCTCAGCCTCAGCATCATCATCATCATCATCATCAGCATTACGAATCATCATCAACATCAGCACCATCATCGGCATCGACATCGTCATCACCAGCATCATTATCAACATCAGCATCCGCATCATCATCATCATCATCATCATCATCATCATCATCATCATCAGCATCAGCATCGTCAGCGTCATCATCAGCATCATCGGCATCATCATCATCATCAGCATCATCATTAGCATCATCATCATCATCATCATCATCATCATCATCATCCTCATCCTCATCATCAGCATCATCCGCATCCGCATCAGCATCAGCATCAGCATCATCAGCGTCAGCATCATCAGCCGCATCAGACCAGAATCATCATCAGCATCAACAGCATCAGCACCAGCACCAGCATCACCATCAGCATCATCATTGTCATTAGCATCATCACCAGCATCAGCATTAGCATCGCCATCATCATCAGCATCAGCATCATCAGCATCACCATCATGCATCGTCATCAGCATCAGCATCATCATCAGCATCAGCGTCAGCACCATCATCACTATCATCGTCATCGTCATAGTCATCGTCATCGTCGTACTCATCATCATCATCATCATCATCATCATCATCATCATCATCATCATCATCATCATCGTCATCTCCATTGTCATTCGCATCATCATCATCATCACCATCAGCAACACCGTCAGCATCATCATCATCATCATCATCAGCATCAGCAGCAGCATCATCAAAATCAGCATCAACATAATCATCATCGTCGTCATCGGCATCGCCGCCGTTATAATCATCATCAGCAGTATTAGCATCATCATCATCAGCATCATCATCAGCATCAACATCAACATCGTCATCGTCATTGCCATCGTCATCATCATCAGCATCACCATCATTAGCAGCATCAGCATCAGCATTACCATCATCACTATCATCATCAGCAACATCATCATCAGCATCATCAACGTCATCATCATCCTCATCCTCAGCATCATCAGCATCATCACACGCATCAGCATCAGCATCATCATCACCGGCATCAGCATCAACATCAGCATCACCATCAGCATCATCAGCATCAGCATCATTATCAGCACCATCAGCATCATGAGCCTCAGCATCACCATCATCAGCATTGGAGAGTACGTACCATCATCACCATCAGCATCATTATCATCATCGTCATTGTCATGATTACCATCACCGTCATCGTCATCGTCATCGTCATAATCATCACCGTCATCGTCATCGCCAGCATCATCATCAGCATCATCATCAGCATAAGCATCACCGTCAGCATCATTATCATCAGCATCAGCATCAGCATCAGCATCATCAGCATCACCATCATCCTCATCACCATCGTCATCAGCACCGTCATCGTTCTCATCATCAGCATCATCACAATCATCAGCATCAGCATCAGCATCAGCATCAGCATCAGCATCGTCATCGTCATCGTCATCATTTTTCATCATCAGCAACAGCATCATCGGCATCAATATCAGCATCATCATCAGCATCAACAACATCAGCATCATCATCCCCATCCTCAGCATCATCAACATCATCATCATCATCAGCATCATCAGCATCATCATGGTCATAATCATCAGCAGCATCAGCATCAGCATTATCATCATCATCAACATCATCAGCATCATCATCATCAGCATCATCATCCTCAGCATCATTAGCATCATCAACATCAGCAGCATCATCATCATCAGCATCAGCAGCAGCATCATCATCAGGAGTCATCATCAGCATCAGCATCATCATCATCATAATCTGCATCATCGGCATCGTCATAATCATCTACATCATCATCATCATCATCATCATCATCATCATCATCATCATTGTCATCGTCATCGTCATCGTACGCAGCATCATCAGCATCAGCATCTGCATCAGCATCAGCAGCATCAGCAGCATCATCATTGTCATCATCATCAGCATCAGCGTCACAGTCAGCAGCATCATCATCAGCATCATCATCAGCATCAGCAACATCAGCATCACCATCACCATCAGCGTCACCATCACCATCATCGTCGTCATCATCATCAGCCTCAGCATCAGCATCAGCATCATCATCAGCATCAGCACCATAACCAGCATCAGCATCAGCATCATCATAAGCATCAGCTTCAACATCGTCGTCATCGTCATCGACATCATGGTCATGGTCATCGTCATCGTCATCGTCATCATCGTCGCCATCGTCATCATCATCGTCGTCATCAGCATCATCATCATCGTCATCGTCGTCGCCATCATCATCGTCATCGCCATCGTCATCAGCAACAGCGTCATCAGCAGCATCAGCATCAGCATCAGCGTCATCAGCATCATCAGCATCAGTATCATCAACAACAGCATCAGCATCAACATCAGCATCATCAGCATCAGCATCATCATCCTCAGCATCATCAGCATCATCAGCATCTGCAGCATCATCATCAGCATCAGCATCATCAGCATCACCATCATGAATCATCATCATCAGCATCATCATAGTCATCATCATCGTCATCGTCATAATCATCTACATCATCATCATCATTGTCATCGTCATCGTCATCGTACGCAGCATCATCAGCATCAGCATCAGCATCCGTATCATCAGCATCAGCAGCATCATCATTGTCATCATCATCAGCATCAGCGTCACCGTCAGCAGCATCATCATCAGCATCAGCATCATCAACATCAGCATCAGCATTACCACCAGCGTCAGCATCACCATCATCATCGTCAGATTCATCGGCATCATCATCAGCATCAGCATCAGCATCATCATCAGCATCAGCACCAGAACCAGCATCAGCATCAGCATCATCATAAGCATCAGCATCAGCATCGTCGTCATCGCCATCGTCATCATGGTCATGGCCATCGTCATCCTCATCGTCATCATCGTCGTCATCGTCATCATCATCAGCATCGTCGTCGTCATCGTCATAATCGTCATCGTCATCGTCATCGTCATCGTCATCATCATCGTCATCGTCATCAGCATCATCAGCATTAGCATCATCAGCAGCACCAGCATCAGCATGAGCATCATCAGCATCATCAGCATCATCATCATCAGCATCAGTATCAGCATCATCATCAGCATCAGCAGCATCGTCCTCATCCTCATCCTCATCCTCAGCACCATCAGCACCATCATCAGCATCAGCATCAGCATCAGCATCAGCAGCATCAGAATCAGCATCAGCATCATCATCCTCGTCATCGCCATCATCATCGTCATCTCCATCGTCATCAGCAGCATCATCGTCATCATCGTTATCGTCGTCTCCATCGCAATCAGCATCAGCATCATCATCATCGTCATCGTCATCAGCATCAGCATCAGCAGCAGCATCAGCATCAGCAACAGCATCAGCATCATCAGCATCAGCAGCATCATCATCAGCGTCATCATCGTCAGCATCAGTTTACCTTATCCTCATCCTCAGCATCAGCATCATCAGCACCATCATCAACATCATCATCAGCATCAGCATCATCATCAGCATCAGCATCAGCATCAGCACCAGCATCATCATCAGCATCATCATCATCAGCATCATCATCAGCATCGTCACCATGATTCATCATCAACATCAGCATCAGTATCAGCATCATCATCATCATCGTCGTCATCGTCATCATCATCTTCATCGTCATCGTCATCGTCGTAATCGTCATCGTCATCGTCATCATCGTCGTCGTCATCGTCATCTCCATCGTCAGCGTCATGATGATCATCATCATCATCATCATCGTCATCGTCATCTTCATCTTCATAATCATCATTATCGTCATCGTCATCGCCATCGTCATCTCCATCGGCAGCAGAATCATCATCATCATCGTCATCGTCATCGTCATCGTCATCGTCATCAGTATCAGTATCATCATCATCATCATCATCATCATCATCATCATCATCATCATCATCATCATCATCATCGTCATCGTCATCGTCGTCATCATCATCATCGTCATCATCATCAGCATTATCATCAGCATCAGCATCAGCATCGTCAGAATCATCATCATCATCGTCATCATCAGCGTCAGCATCAGCTTCAGCATCATCGTCCTCATCCTCATCCTCAGCATCCTCAGTATCATCAGCACCATCATCAGCATCATCATCGTCAGCATCATCATCAGCATCAGCAGCATCAGCATCAGCATCAGCATCATCATCAGCATCATCATCAGCATCATCATCAGCATTATCATCATCAGCATCACCACCATGAATCATCATCAGCATCAGCATCATCATCATCATCGTCATCGTCATCATCATCATCATCTCCATCGTTATCGTCATGATCATCGTTATCTCCATCGTCATCTTCATGATCATGATCATGATCATGATCATCATCATCATCATCATCATCATCATCATCATCATCATCATCATCATCATCATCGTCGTCATCGTCATCATCATCATCGCCATCATCATCATCACCATCATCAGCATCATCATCATCAGCATCGTCAGCAGCAGCGGGGCCCCGGGGGACGCGAGCGCCGTGTTCGAACGTGGCGAGCAGGCCGGCCCCCCCAGCCTGCGAGACGCGAGGAGGTGAGGGGGCGCCGCGCCCGGGGCGGAGAGGCGGAGGGGGAGGAGAGAGGACGCAGGGGAGGGGGGGGGGCGGAGGGAGCACGGAGTGGCCCGCCTCCGAAGGGGGCGGGTCTGAGAAGCAAGGGGCGGAACAGCGACACGCAGGAGGAGCGAAGGCGTGGGCAGAGCTGCACGTCGTTCATGTCTAGTCGTGCTCATTTCTGAGTGTGGTCGTTGCTAATTGTTCCTGGCCCACCAGTGGCCAGGGAGAGGCCCAGGATAGAACAATCAGAAACGAAAGGGTCTTGGCCCACAAAAAACCAGAGAATTTCCGAAGAGTTAGACATGAACCATGTGTGGGCAGAACTACGAATCATGCACCCGAGCGTGAATCACCTCTGAAGTAAGGCCATCCCGACGGGGGGTGGGGAGGGGGGGAAGGAGAGAGGGAAGAGGGGGGAAGGGGGGGGGAAGAGGGAAGAGGAGAGAGGGAAGAGATGGAGGAGGGGGGGAGAGGGAAGAGGGAAGAGGGAGGAGGGGAAGGAGAGAGGGAAGAGGAGGGAGGGAAGAGGGGGGAAAGGGGGGGGAGCGGCGAGGGATGTCATCACAGGAGGGAGGGGCAGGCGGGAAAGAAGGGGGGCGGGAGATTCAGGAGGAAGACAGGAAGGAGAATGGGAGTGGGAGGGCGGAAGATTGAGGTGGGGAGGGGGGTGAGTGAGGGGGTCGGGGAGGATGGAGAAAGGGGGGCGAGGGGAGTGGAGGGAGGAAGGCGTGGTCAGGGTGGAGGGGATGACAGGAGGAGGACGTGGAGGGGAGAAAGGGGGGAGAGGGGAGGGGGAGAAGAGAGGAGAGGAGGTGGCAGAGGGAGGCTAGTGGCTCGCCAGGGCAGCTCTGAAGCGCCTGCCCCGTCGGGCGCCCTCGCCCGGGGGGTCCTTCCAGACGTGCATGCAGCCCGTGCACCGTATCGTGATGACGGGCTCCATGTTGTTGTCGTCGTACTGGTGCGAGCCCTTGACTCCAAAGATGAAGAGGCCCACAAACACACAAATAAATACACACAAATAAAAAGATTCCCCATATTTTCCCATATTTTCTGGGTTTTCGTCTTCCCGCCCAATTCCCATATTTTCCCATATTTTCTGGGGAATCGAGGATTAATTGTGTCTGTGTGTTTTTTCCTCTCCTGAAAAGAGACATGCAGGCCCAGACCTCCAACGCCTTGACAGACAAAACAGGGCGGATCGTTGCTCGCCGTTTCGGCCCGCAGGGGGCGCTCCGGGCTCCCGGGCAATCGAGCAAGGACTGGTCCGGGGCTGAAGAGCAATCGCTGGGAAAGGGGTCAAGACGTCGGGGGGCCTCGTAGTTTAGGACGAGAGCGATGCCATGATACGACTGGAGCGGGATACGTCATGATACGGTAGCGACGTCACGATCCGTTGCCATGATGCGTTCCCAGAACTCGCGATCATCTGGCGCACGCTGGGACACCAGACGAGAACGATTACTACATGATGCGTTCCCATTTTAGGGGCGTCTAGCGGCACTCGTCTCGGGAGCCCGCGCGGACCTTGCTGTGATACCTGGGAGCCGGGGACCGCTGGGAACGCATCACCCTCCTGACGCTTTGTCTCCCTGGGCGTCAGGAAGAGCAGAGCAACACAAACAAAAACACACACACACTGTGGGAAACACACACACACTGTGTGTGTGTTTGTGTGTGTGTGTTTGTATGTTTTTGTGTGTGTGTGTGTGTGTGTTTTGTGTGTGTGTGTTTGTGTTTTTTTTTTTGTGTGTGTGTGTTTTTCCCACAGCAAGCACACACACACTGTTTTATGTCGCAGCGCGGCAGGGGCAGTTCGCGCGCGCGCTCGGGCAAAGGCGGGAGAGGAGAGCGGCCGCGGGAGGAGGGGGGGGGAACTACACACAAACACACACACATACACAAAAACACACACACACAAACAAACACACAAGCACACACACACACCAACACCACAGGCAACAGACATGGCATCGGAGGCCTGGGGATGCAGATATCGGCCGCGCCCCCCCCCAGGGCGGCGCCGACGGACGGCCTCCAATGGCTGTGTGTGTCTGCCGTTTTGCGTCCCGTTGTGTGTGTGTGTGTGTGTGCGTGCGTGCGTGCGTGTGTGTGTGCGTGTGTGTGTGTGTGTGTGTTTGTGTGTGTGTGTGCGTGTGCGTGTGCGTGTGCGTGTGCGTGTGCGTGTGCGTGTGTTGTGTGTGTGTGTTGTGTGTTGTGTGTCGTGCGTGCGTGCGTGCCTGCGTGCGCGCGTGCGTGTGTGCGCGTGTGCGCGTGTGCGTGCGTGCGTGCGTGCGTGCGTGCGTGCGTGCGTGCGCGCGTGCGTGGGTCCGTCGAGGGGCGGCGCCCAGATCCTCGCCGGAGAGGGGCCTTGAACGACTGCAGGTAGATGCACTTCTCGCCCTCGCACCGGGGGCAGGCGTAGTTCTCGGACGGCGTCCAGTGCCCTGAGTCCTCGGCGGCGACGCCCAGCGCCTCCTGTCGCGTGCTGCCAGGGGTGCCTCCTGGCCCAAGGCGTCCCTTCCCTTCCCAGGGGCGCCCAGGGGCGCCTCTAGAGTGCGCCCCACGAGGCTTAGGTCGGGCATGTCCTCCTACAGGCTGATTTTGGAAGAAATATAGAGCGTCCCCCGATTATTCTGGACCGGAGTATGTTTCAACTATTCTTGGACATTCCTCCTGTAGAGGGACATGCCCGACTTAACGCGAGGCCCAGAGGGCCCAGAGGCCCCAGAACGGCACCGAGACGCTACGAGACGCGGGGGGCACCAGGGGCCCCGGCCGCCTCTGACAGCCCCCGGATCCTGGAGAGACTCCTGCCGGAACTGCATCAGCTCGCTGCGCCACTCCGTGGCCATGAGGTCCTCGTCGCCCATGGCGGCGAGGCGCTCCCCGGCCAGCTCCCCCGACGCGAGCCTCCGAAGATGGCCGCCCAGCATCGAGTCAGCGAGGGGGTGCGGCGATCGAATCGGGAAGGATCGGCGGAACTCGGCGGCCAGGTCGGGAGAGGTCCAATCGGCGGACATCGGCAGGCAAGCGAGGCCTCCGTTGAGAAGCCGAGGTCCACATCGGAATCCGAAGTCGAATCGGTTCGGAATCGGGACAGGGATCGATCGAACCCGCACCGCGTCGAGCCGGAGGCAGCGGCACGAGGCCGGGCCTCTTGGCGAGGGACGCGTTCTGTCGGAGGTGCGTGCACAGGCGCTTGTACTGCGTCTTGTAGGCCTTGAATTAAGTCGGGCCTGTCCCCCTACAGGGGGTCTTTCGACGAAAAATCAAAAAAAAACCCAAAACATAATCAACAAATAGTCCAAACATAGTCTGGGGACTATTTTTGGACTCTGTTTTGGCCTTTCTGGGGCATTATAGGGGGTATTTTTAATTTTTCGTCGAAAATCCCCCTGTAGGGGGACACGCCCGACATAGGCCTTGAAGGCCGACGAGCCGTCGGACAGCGGCTCGCCGCCCGGGCACGCCACGCCGTGGAGCCCGCGCTCGAGGGCCTCGGCGATGGGGCGCTTGACCCCGGCCTCTCGGCGGCCGCAGCAGAGGCGGGCTACAGCGCCGGTTTTAATACATGCTCCGCGTGCGGATCATATATATAAAAATAAAAGGGATTTAGTGCTTAAGACAATGATGAATTTACACATTGATTTACTAGGAAATAGTTCATGTATCAAAAATCCAATGTATTAACAATCCTATGTATGTTGGCGGTGCGCCGTGGCACGAACCACCCCCCCAGCACTACCGGGGGGGTTCGTGCACTACCGGGGGGTTTCGTGCAGCCCGCACCGGGTGCCGCCAGCGGCTGAGAACACCCCCCCCTTGCCGCTTTACCGGGGGGGTTCGTGCAGGCGTGCAGGCCGCATTGGTCCTCCCTGTCGCTTTACCGGGGGGGTTCGTGCAGGCCGCACTGCGTCTACCTGGGCTCCCCCCCCCCTGTGGGAGTGGGGGGGTGGGAGTGGGGGGTGGGTTGGGGGGGGGGCAGGGGGGCGGTTGGGAAGGGTGGCTCCCTGTCGAAGTGTGGCGTGTGCTCGCCTTGTGTTCTCTATTCGCGTCTGCTCGCCTTTGTTCCGCCGCAGCCTCTCGTATTGTGGCTCGTGGCCACAATACGAGAGGCTGCGGCGCAACTCCCAAGAGCCGCTGTGGGGGGTCGACGGCACGGCCGCGTAGAGAAGAGCAGTGCCGCCGTGTTCTGGCACGGCCCTGGGATGCAATGCCGCCGCCGTGTTCCGGCCCGTCCTGGTAAGATTCGTGCGTCGGGGCTGGGGTTCGCGCGTGCCGGGAGCGCGCCGCTTACGGAGGGGTTGCTTCCTTACCGGGGGTTTCGTGCAGCCTACCAGAGGAGGTCGTGTTTACTGGGGGGGTTCGTGCAGGCTCGCACCGGGAATGGCGCCAGCTCGAAACCCCCCAGGAGAGATTACCGGGGGGGGGGTTCGCCCCGCACCGGGCACCGCCAACATATATGTTGGCGGTGCGCCGTGGCACGAAACCCCCACCCAGCACTACCGGGGGGTTTCGTGCACCACCGGGGGGTTTCGTGCAGCCCGCACCGGGTGCCGCCAGCGGCTTAGAACCCCCCCCCCTTGCCGCTTTACCGGGGGGGGTTCGTGCAGGCCGCATTGGGTCCTCCCCTGTCGCTTTACCGGGGGGGTTCGTGCAGGCCGCACTGCGTCTACCTGGGCTCCCCCCCCACCCCCTGTGGGAGTGGGGGGGTGGGAGTGGGGGGTGGGTCAAGCTAGCCAGCTCGAGCGAGTCAAGCATGGCATGCCCATTCCCACCCGCCCTCCCACAACATAAGAAACAGTGATGGCACAACTGGGGGTTGCGCGGGCATTTCAGTGCGAGTGGAGGATACCCCAGGACACCGCATTGACGTCCGCGCGGGATGTGCGCCGCGTCCCGTTCCCGCCACGAATTTCGCAACGTCGACGACAAGACTGGCCATATTGAAAGGAACACCGGACACGTTCCGCCCTCCCACAACATAAGAAACAATGCTGGCGCAACTGGGTGCTGGCGCGTAGTGGTAGTAGTAGTAGTAGTAGTAGTAGTAGTAGTAGTAGTAGTAGTAGTAGTAGTAGTAGTAGTAGTAGTAGTAGTAGTAGTAGTAGTAGTAGTAGTAGTAGTAGTAGTAGTAGTAGTAGTAGTCGTAGTAGTAGTAGTAGTAGTAGTAGTAGTAGTAGTAGTAGTAGTAGTAGTAGTAGTAGTAGTAGTAGTAATCGTAGTCGTAGTCGTAGTAGTAGTAGTAGTAGTAGTAGTAGTAGTAGTAGTAGTAGTAGTAGTAGTAGTAGTAGTAGCCCTGAGTCGCCGAAAGATCGTTCCAAAACGCCCAAGATGGCCTCCAGACGGCCGTAGCGCCAAGAAACCGCGGGGAGCCTCAGGAGGCCCTCCAAGAGCCTGAACAAGCAAAAACCTCCCAGGCATTCGTCACCCCAGGGCCTCCTGGAACGCCCCGGCGCCCAATGACTTGGCGAGCTAAAGACGTGCGCCGAGCCAAAGCGGGAGCGCAACTTTGAGAAAATTTCGCTCGGCGCCCAAGCGAGAAGGTCATTTCATTCATTTCGAGCGGGGGGGGGGGGTGCCGCGCCCAATTCTTGCCATGCAGTTTTTCGGGGTGGACGACAAGAACAGCTATATGGGCAAGCGAAAATCAGCATGGCCTTGCTTCTGACAAGTAAGGTGGCCCCTCCCGCCTTGGGGTTGCCCTAGAAGTCCGCGCGCGATGTGCGCCGCGCCCCATTCCTGCCACGCATTTCGCATCGTCGACGACAAGACAGGCCATGATGAAAGGAAAAACGGCAAATCTGTATCGTTTTTTACAGTCAGGATGGGAGGGCCCGCAGCCCGCATGGACGTCCGCGCGCGATGTGCGCCGCGTCCCATTCCTGCCACATATTTCGCACCGTCGGCGACAAGGCAGGCCATGCTGAGAGGAAAAAACAGAGACTTTGTATTGCTTTTTTACAGTCAGGATGGGCGGGCCCAGATTGACTGCCGCGCGCGATGTGCGCCGCGTCCCATTCCTGCCACATATTTCGCACCGTCGGCGACAAGGCAGGCCATGCTGAGAGGAAAAAGCGAAGACTTCGTATTGTTTTTTACCGTCAGGATGGGCGGGCCCAGATTGACTGCCGCGCGCGATGCGCGCCGCGTCCCATTCCTGCCACGGTTTTCGCATCGTCGACGACAAAAAAGACGATGTTGAGAAGAAAAACTGCCACTTTGTATTGATTTTTTTCAGTCCGGATGGGAGGTCCCAGATTGGGTTGCTATCCGCCGGAATACGAGGTAGGTGGGGGTATATAATAATGAGGAACAAGGATAGGGGTAGGGTAGGGTTCGGGGGTAGGGGTAGGGTTCGTATGTGGCCCCTATTTTGTTGCTGCCGCGATGGCCTCGGTGCTGTCCGCGGAGGAGTACGTCAGGCAGGCGGAGGTCGAGTGTGCGAGGGTCCCGGGCCTCTCGGCCCAGCCTGGCCCGCTGGAGCGCGTGGGCATAGTCGGCGCGGGCCTCATGGGTGGTGGCATCGCCATGTGCTGCGCCGAGGCGGGCATGCACGTGACCATCGTGGACGTCAGCGAGGAGGCGTTGGCCAAGGGAATGAGGACGGTGAGGGCGAACTACAAGCGCAGCGTCGAGAGGAAATCCAAGAAGCAGGACCAGGTCGACGCCATCCTGGCCAACATCAGGACAAGCTCGGACTACAAGGATTTTGCCGACTGCGACATCGTCGTGGAGGCGGTCTTCGAGAACATGAAGGTGAAGCAGGACGTGTTCAGGAAGTTCGACGAGGTCTGCAAGCCAGGCTGCATCCTTGCCACGAACACGTCCGCCCTCAGCATCGACGACATCGCAAAGGCCACCAAGCGCCCCGAGGACGTGATAGGCTGCCACTTCTTCTCGCCGGCCAACGTCATGCGGCTGCTCGAGAATGTGCGGGGCACCAAGACGAGCCCGCGCACGATCGCCACGGCCATGGCGTTCGGGGTGAAGATCCGCAAGGTCACGTGCTTGGTCGGCAACTGCTTCGGCTTCGTGGCCAACCGCATAATGTACCAGATGGGCTCGTACGCGCTCGTGGCCCGCGGGGCCTGGCCGCACGACGTGGACGCGGCGGTGGAGGCCTTCGGCATGAAGATGGGCCCGTTCAAGATGGGAGATCTGACTGGCATCGACCTGATGGGCAGGGAGCGCGTCAGGAGCGGGGCTGCCAAGCCCAACGAGTTCCTCCCCGACGCGATGTACGCTGCGGGCCGCTTCGGGCAGAAGAACGGGAAGGGCTACTACGGATACGACGGGGACCGGAAGCCCTTCAGAGACCCAGAGGCCGAAGAGATCATCCAGAGAGTTTGGAAGAACACCGGCGTCGAGCCCCGCAGCTTCACCCCCGACGAGATAGTGGCATGCACTTACTTTCCGTGCATCAACGAGGGCTTCCGGTGCCTCGAGGAGGGCATCGCCCTCAGGCCACTGGACGTCGACGTGTGCCTGATCTACGGCTACGGCTGGCCTAAGGCCACCGGCGGCCTGATGCGATACGCGGACATCGAAGAAGAAAACGGCAGTGGGGGCCCATGCCGAGAAACTCCTCCTCCTCCTCCTCCTCCTCCTTCTCCTCCTCCTCCTCCTCCTCCTCGTTTGAGGCTCGTGCGAAAGCAAGCGACAAACGGAGCGACAAACAGACCAAACGACAGTGGGGGCCCATGCCGAGAAACACCCTGCTTGCCTCCAGGGTACCCTGGGTTTCTTGGGTTTCGATGGCTCTGCGATGGAGAGCGTGACGCTCCCACGCCAAGCAGCCATGGGCGTCCTGGGGTCTCAAGGTTGGGTTTCTTGCGGAAGGTTGGTCGGGCCCCCATTGCACAGTTGGGGCGCTGAAGAAGGAACCCTTTGCGTTGGGGAGGGGCTCGGTGTTCCTTGAGTGTTTCACAGTTTGCCTTAGGCTTTCCTTAGGTTCTCGAAGGTAAATCGAAGTTGAACTTGTGGGAAGAGGGCCTCGTTCCTTATTTAGGGTTCCTTAGGTCAACGCCCCGACTGTACCCATTCTTTCCGTACCCCTTCCGGGTGTCCAAAATTGCACATGAACATGAAGTTCAGGAACTTCGGGCAGATTTTTTGGATCGGCGCTGGACCGCCTCCCCTGGCGCGCAGCGCGCCAGGGGCGGCGCCGGACGCGCCGGGAGGGGGGCCAGGACCGGTCCAGCAGATCCGCACGGAGCTCCTAGAGTTTATGCTGATGCAGTGTTTTGCTCCTCCAGGTTGAAGTCGGGCCTGTCCCTCTACAGGAGGAATACTCGAAAATAGTTCAAAAAGTAGTCCGGGGACGTCTTTTTGCATATTTTGGGGCATCGTTTGAGTATTTTTGGAATGTTTAATTTTTCGCCCAAAATCCCCATGTAGGGGGACACGCCCGACTCAACTCTAGGACAGCGTCGGGCTGCCGAAGGTGCTCGAGGCGCTCGAGGCGATGGGCGTGCAGCCCGCGGCGCTGCTGCGCGAGTGCGCGGAGAGGGGCTGGGCCACG